GTAGCCACAGTTGTTTTCCAAACAATTATGGTACTGAAGGGGATTTATTTGGTCAACTACGGTAGCAACACCTGATTTGGAGAGGTATTTGTAATATTTTTTTTTAAATCAAGCTTAACTTTTAATACCCACACATCTTTCCCCTGCTGATGTTCACTTAATTTGTAATCTCACAGAACAGTAGTGCTAGGCTACAGTCAGACCAAGAAATGTCATGGGTGGACATCACAGATGAAAAGGGGCTCCTAATCTTTTCTAGGTAGTAATCCTTCTGAGATAGATTTTGTAGATGGTACTGTTAGAGGAAAACTCGGGCTGAGATTAGAGACACCCAAAATTTCTGTAAAGAAGTTTAAATCTCAAAGATTCAGAAACCTGTTTGAATATTTTTTTCTTCCCTCAGGCTTCAAGAGACTTATGAATGTTTGAAGCCAAGCAAAATTCATATTTAACACTGAGCAAAGCAAAACAGTTATTTCAACCAAGCTGCGTTTTGGCGTTGGTCAAACCCTGAGCTCACAGCAGCAATGCTGAGTGTCATGCCACAGCTATTGAAACAATCCCAAAATTAATGGAGTTCTGTGTGAGATGACACATCTACATTTTCCTCAGTTCCATCTGACACTTTCATCTACAGCAGCATTTCTTTTCTTAAAAGTACCCTCTTCGATCAATTTTGATTTCAGGAGTGGAATCAGCCCTAATTTTATGCATCTTTACCTCAGCTCCTGAACCTTAGCTTCCTTTACAATCAGTAAAGACTAACAATCACTTCCAAGGTGCAGTTCAGCCTGTTTTAGAAGCTTACGTTAGACTGAGCTCAGTCATGCCTGAGACTTGCTCTTAATATATAAGGAGGACAGCTCAGAGGCGGAAGCCCACACTGTAAAAATGTGTATCACATGAATCCTGCTTCATTTGATTATCAAGAAAGTCTACATAGTTGGAAGAATTTCAAGATGATGGAACATGTTTTGATGCATAATCCATCACATTTGAAAATCTCTCCTTCCTTAAAAGTCTAAAGGAAATATTGATGGTTGTTTATCTTAACGCTGTGGAGAGCAATTGGTTTACTTGTTCTGATTATTCAGATCTGAATTATTAGCAAAGCAAATTTCTGACTCTTGAATCCAAATATAATTAATGCACCAGAAAGCTGCTGCTCTGAGCTCCATTCCTATTTGTAATGACCTTTGCTTCCTAAAATCGTCATGAAATCTATAGTGGCCTTTGAAAGGAAGAATTCATGCAAAGCAGTCCCCAGTGCTTTTTAAGATAACGGCCAAGGGCAACCTCAGAAAAAAGCGAGGTTAAGATTCAACTGGCTAGCACAGACTGGAGTTCAGTTTCGACTGTCAGATGAGAAGGGCAGGACTTGTTTATTTAGCCCGCCCCTTGGTTTAAGCAGCAGCATGACAAGTTATTCAAAGGAGGCTGGTTTATTCTCATATAGATGCAGGTTGGAGGAGTTTGTCTGGCATGTTTTGGTCTTGGAGGAAAGGATGGGAGGGACAGAAAGGTTACACGTCCTAAATACATAAACGCCTCTTTGGCTGGTTAATGGAGCAGCAGAAGCGCTTGGCACAGAGACAGCGGTGAGCTTCACCTTCTCAGCTGGAGGAGCAGCCCACAATCACTGCCATCACAGAGCGCAACGGCTTACTAAAGGAATAAAGACAAAACTGCATTTGATTTCCAGAACAGAGGGGCAGGAAATACTCTTGACCCTGTCAAGGCTTTACTGATCTTAATGGGACTGCCCCAGAGAAAAGCTCTGCTTGAACAGTGGAGGGGTGCTGCTCCTGAGGGACAAGTTCAAAAACACTGGCTCAGAAATATTAATAAAAACATTTTACACTGTTTCTTCATCGGAGCTTAAAAGAAACATCTTACTACAGAGCACACTGCCAAAGTCTGTACACTTATACCATAAAAGGCACATATGCTTATTTCTATAAACTAGTAGCCGAAGCTCTCTTGGAGGATGAATGAATTTAAGATAACCAGTTGCTGGCATAAGTAGACACCATAAAGAAGGCTTAGTGATTATTTCTAATCTCCTGGAAGATTGTACAAATGAATAAAAATGAGGTTAATCACCAAGGAAAATCACCACTAAAGTACTACATCTTTTGTTAAATATTAATTTTGATTTTTCCCCATCACAGAATTTACAAGGTTCTCATGAATCAAGGATTAATTCAGAGGTTTTTATTTATCCTCTGCTATGAATGGATCCCTTCTCAGTGGAGAGTGAATGAATTTATTTTGCATCAGCTTGAAAAGAAAATCTTTCGTAAAAGAATTGGCAATTTTTGCCAGAGAAATCCAGACCAAGTGAAACATTTCATTGTTCGGGCTGTTAGATCCTAACGAGTTCTGCATCTAAGCACTTGTGATTTTTTTTCTGTCTGATCTAGCAGTAGCATAGCAGTTTATGCACTTAAATGTACGAGACTTGTTTGAGTGGAAGATTTGTATTAAAGGAAGGCAGCACGTTCCATAGTTTTAGTATAACATCTGTTATTATCATTCAGTGCTGCTCTTAGCCCAGCATGCCCTTCCTCTAAATATCTTATTAATTAAACTGGCTTAGTAGGAAAATAATTAATACTTTAAGTCCTGTACCTACTTAGAAAGGATGAAAAAAATTGTGTTAGTCTGAGCTTTAAACTGGAGGGTTGTGGGGATTTTTCATTCTTGAGCAGAAGCAGATTAGTACTAAAAGGGAATATGTGAAAAGCCTATGTATATAGAGTCTTCCAAAAATATATATTCTATCTTTGAACCTCTGCTAGACTGCAAAAATAGTCCATGACTTTGAGAAGTCTTGGTGAATACTTGAGTGTCTTCCCCGGCAACTGTTTTGGGAGAGGTGCTCCTTCACTTCTTCAGAATGCCCTGCCAGCCCTGTTTAGCACTTGATCCCCCAGAATTGTTAACTCCAATTCATAAAATTACCGTGTTTCATACCACTACTTCAATAACGTGGTGGGACCTCCTTACCATGACGTGGGTGCTACCTTGCATAGCCAGCTGTTGACTAAACAGGAGACTGAAACAGTGAACCCAGGTGAATGCCGGTGAATTTGTATGTAAAATGTGGATCTGTTTCTTAGCTATTTATGGTAAAGTACAAAAATATCAGTATTTGCCCATGTCTTTCTTTTGTGAGCAGTGCTGCTGTCTATATGCAGAAACTGCTGCTCTGCTGTTTCACCCAACTCGATTTCCCACTGAATAACAAGCTCACACAGACTGGGTGTTGTTCGCTGCTGACACTAAACAGAAAATTACACTTTTTCAGACCTACTGGAAAAGATGTTGGGTGCTGCCAAATAGCTCTTTAAAGTCAGGGGTTTAACAGTTTCTTTGGTGGGAGAGAGCTCGGGAGTTAGCTGTCGCTTGTTTGGGCTTTTTTTGGAGGGACTGAAGGTAGCTCTTCTTAAGGAGGAGGAAGAAGCTTTAAATGCCGTACCAGAACAAGGGCCCTTCGGCACTGGGAAAAGGCAGCTTGGAGAGCAGTCTGCAATGTGACTCCAGAATCTGATTGCTGGGTATTTCTTTTCAAAAACAGAAACTTAGAAATCAAAGTTTCATTGAAAGTCGGTGAGGTACCTAAAGTGCTTCTTTAAATGGGGCTGAGGCACTCCAGAAAATGCTGTGACTGCTATGTTAACAGCCTCCAGAATAAAACTGTATCATTCATCTGGCTAATGGGTGTGGGGTCTTGTGACTCAGCCATTATCAATTCTGATCAGTGCTGAAGTTCAGAGGACGTGTTCAGGGGAGACCAGGGGTTTTATTAGCTATTAACTGTACCTACTTGTCATCTTTGTCCTGAAGAATACATGTTCAAAACTGATTTTAAAAATGGAAAAACCTAGATTTATCCTGTACAAAAGAGTGAAGCAGAGCTGGCCTTGTTCGCACTAAGCCTTATCTGACAGCAAATAAGCGCAGCACAGCTGATTCACCAAGTGTATGTGCCCCTGCAGGAACAGCCAACATGCAGCAGTGTCAGAAAAGGTTACGCCCTCATGTTTACAGGGATGGAGAGAGGATTTCAAAGCCTCTTTTGCTTTAAATCTGCCTTGGGCAGACTGGAGATGCTACGTCCCAGTTCATTTGTGTGTGCATGCATCTGTGCTGGGTCTGATAGGGGAGCATATGGCAGAAGTGATTCGCCCTTGACTGTGCCTCTTTTTTGGCAGGCACAGGCTTGTTTCTCGCAGAGCGAGTGCAGTCGCAGCCGCTCCTGCACATCACTTCTTGTGCCCCTTGCTTGCTGGCTTTCAGCTCTTTGCCTGAATGCGTGTCCTTTGTGGTGTTTTGGTTAATTGGACATTGTTTTAATTACTGCTGAACCAAACAAACGTGAAATTTCTATCTGTCATTTTGCCACCCCAGTGACCGTGGTCTCCAAGCAGCCAATACAGGATTTGAGCTGTTCAGACCTGGTGTAAATTGCAGTGGCTCTCATGGAGTTTCCCTCATTTACACCTATTTTGGGGAAAACATCCCTCCAGGGAGGAGAAGGCTCTGTTAAACAGCTCCCTTTTTGCAGTCCTAAATGCCTTGATAATGCTTTCACTGGAATTAATGGGAAACAAGCATTGACCTCAGGGCAGCAGAGGTGCCAGTCCTCTTCTGTGGCCTTGAGGACAGTCCACGGCCATGTCTTTCATTGGTGTGAGATTTCGCAGTTGCCTCCTTTCTTGCCTTTCCCTCTCTGGCTTTGGCACTAATTGTCTTTCTCCCTTTGCTGTTTCTAATTCTCCATAGAAATGCTTGGGTTGTGTCAAAGTTAAGCAGTGGGAGTGTGGACATGCCCTCAAATTGGTCAGTCTAAAGCCATTTCTGTCAATAACGGCCATACTACAGCAGCAAGGCAGATTCTCTGCACTGCCAGTAGCCTTTATTTTGATAAACTAATTTGCCACTGACTTGCAGAGGAAAAAAAAAAAAATTAAATCCCTTAAAAGGCATAGAGCCTTTTAAAACCATTTTACTACTTTTCTATTTATATGACCCTTCTCCTTTGCTTACAGCTTTGGAAAGAAAAATATCAATGAGGCAGAGCAGAGAGGAGCTTATAAAACGAGGAGTACTGAAAGAAATTTTTGATAAAGGTAAGTGTTCTTCTTTTCACAACATTAAATTGACATCCCATATAGTTCATGGGCACATATTACGTTATTGTAACACTGAACTTGGGAATACAGTCTTGAATTTCAGGACTGTGCAGAACAAGGTCTCCAAACATCTCTTTTTAATTTCACTGTGGGCAAGCCCTCTCCATTGGATACATGTGCTAGTTATCTAGCAAATAAAACTGAAAACTAATCAGAAATGTAAAGCAGTAGAAATATAAATCATGGCAGCATGCAGCAGTCATTTGCTGCAAAACAGCCGTCCAGACTGTGGGGAAATGGAGTGGGTCTGTGCCTGCATGTGTTAGCATGAGTTAGTTGAGACACTCTGCGATTAACTATTGTGGAAAAGGGAAACATTTAGAGGTTTTAGATACTGGCAAGCACAGACCAGTGCACATTCCCTTGAAACAGCGTAGAAGACATAGTAATAGTAGTAGTAATAATAATTATTATTACTATTGTTATTCCTTGTTCAGGATAATTAATTTTTTGAGTTGGTATTTCAATGTATTATTTATGCAAAATGTCATTGTTTTACAAACAGCATTGTTTTATACTGGTAATACGACACATATTTGACACCTATTATGTATGTGTCTATCTTTAACCTTAGCTTTTATTTGTTTTGCTGCTTCCCTTGTCAATAACTAAGGTAATGAATTCATCTAATTGTATAAAGACATGCCAGAGTTTCCTCTTAATTTCAATAGAATTTATGCATGTGCTTTAAAGCCTCATTAATTCAAAGCTTAAAAGTCTTTAACAATACCAGTACAAAACCTGTTAGAAGTCAATAGAAGTTATAAACTTTCACAGATAATAGTAGAGTCTACTTCATAAAGTCGGAAGCATTTAAATCTGCTACCTACTTTTTGAGTCTAGCTTATTGGGAATTTTAAAATTTACTAACCAGAACTGCTTATTTGTTTAAGAGAAAAAAAACCAAACCACTGCAAAACCAAAGAAATACAGTGCTTGTCATTAAATTCTACCATTGTTACCCATTACATATTTTAGATGCTGCTAGTTCTTTAGATCTAACACTGCCTGTGCTCTTACTATGCCTGCTGCCTTGGAAGTCTTCCTAGATGAAACTTCAGAGTAGAAATAACACCTAGCAAAAGGTTTGCCCTTCTCACCACTTTGTGTTGTCCCAAGTTTTGGAGTGTGACTGGGATCAGATGTACACCCATGAGGCAGGCATCCCCATGGGCAGCGAGGTGCAGTCTAGGCTGTCACGCCAAGTGTGTCACAGCACAGGGGAGGCCAGGTCGAAACTCCCCATTCAGTGCCCTGGTCAGCTCAGAAGTCAGCTTTCAGTCACACTTCCATCCAGGCTGTGCCCTCGTTCATCTCTGCCTCACATCACACACATAGCTGCTTTCTGACCCATCCCTACCCATGCCTAAAGGCATCCCCAGGAAAAATCTTTACTGTGCAGCCTGACCCTGCCCTCCATGCTACTACAAAAGTGTTGTAGCTTTCTACATTCATCATATAATGCTTTAGTTTGTAATCTTCTTGTCATCTTGTGAAGCAGATGCTAAGCTGTCTGGAGGTCCTCATCTGAAAAAGAGGTTAATTCCTCTTTGTAGTAATTTTTCACCTTTTCATATCAAAACAAGCTGGTATGAAACACATGCTGCTTCATCCTATTTGCAGTGCAAAAAAGCAGAGACATCAGACTTTTTCATTGTCAGGTGCCACTAGAAGGGAAACTACAATACAAATCAGCTGGACTTCTTACCAGTATCTTACGTTATTTCCTGCTGGTTGCAAACACGGGAAGCTAAGAATTGGTACCCCTCCTTGAAAGAAAGAGGTAGGGCAGAGAAGAAAGTGGTAATACACAAATACAGCATCAGTGATCAATGGTAAAAGTATATGAGTAAGGCAAGATTTGTAGAGCAAATCAAATTTCCTTCAGTGGTGTAATAATCTGAGAGTAATTCTAATAAATGGTATTATATCTCACTGTGAACCTTAAGTGGCAGTAAGTAACATTTCCTTTTAGTTCCTGTTAGGTAATCTCTAATCCTTCAAGAAAACACAGCAGACTTCAGCACTTCATAGCAAAAGGCTTTATTTGATGGTGATAGCACCTTCCGTGCCAAGAGACATCTTGCACAGACAATAGGTGTAGCCATAATGTTAAATCTCTTTGTCTCCCTTTCCTAAGAGGAAGACAAAGCAGACAGAATAAGCCTGTGAGTGAGCAGTTTTGCCTTTTTCTTTATTAAAAAACCCTATACAGATCAAAGGAAGCTTAATATGGATAGACTGACCTGAGAACAAAAATTCTGAAGCTTGCAGTGTGTTTAGTACTGGTTTTATCCGATCTTCTATGTTAACCGACACCCCCCCCCAAAACCCCAAAAAAAAAAAAAAAACAAAAAAAAAACACCAAAAAAAAACCCCAACAGAATTAGCAAGTTTGTTCACCTGCTGTATGAATGACACACTGACCTGTTTGCTTCAGGATTTGCTGGCTTTTCAGAGGAAAGTGTCATCCAGCAGGTGAAAGTTAGCAGAGTGTAGTAAGTCACAGTGTTCACACATGGAAGAGTTACTGCAGTCCAACTGCTATATTTGGGAAACAAGAAGTGCTTTTATCATTTCAGTGACCCCCGCACTTAAACTAGTCAAGTGAAACCACTCCAGACTGAACTGCGGAGAGCTCTTTTCTTGGCAAGAGCCAGACTCATGACCAAATCAGTTTGTGTCATCTTCCATTTCCAGCATTCTGTGACTTGAGTCTTCTGAAAATGTAGGCAAAGGTTGTAATTTTTTCAAATACTGTGTACTTTTGGAAAAATAGTAAGTTGAAGTATGTGATGAGGCACCTGCTGTTCTAATAGTTTGTGGGCAGGCAGTGCCAAGAGGTTAAAAATACAGCTTCCACCTGCAACTCAGAACATACCACAGCATGTAGACGAACTCACATTTCTTGCTATGCCATTGCTCCCACACATAGATAAACAGCTTTGATTTTCACATGAAAGTATAACCATCCCAGAAGCTTCTGTCTTCAGATTTTCCCACTGTTCCATGGTGCCAAAGAATTAAATCTACTTGTAGCATTTTGATACCTCTTCTTTTATCTGAACGTAGATGAGATTGCCTGTAGTGAGAAATTTCTGAACATGAGTATGTACTGTACTGATTGTTCGCTTGAGATGATGGTGCAATGGTTCTGCATGGAAGCACAAGCAATCTTCATCTTTTATTATTATGTGGTTTTGTACTCTCTAACTAATCAAAATGATAGATATAGACCAAAATTTCAGGTTACCTAAATCCTGACAGGGTTTGGAAGTGTTGCACTTACATGCTGCGGCAGGTTTTGTGGCAATATGTGACCATAAGTTTGAAGAAGTGGCTTTGGTAATGTAGCAAGGAGGAAGACATGGCAGCCACCGGAGAGCCAGTTGTGCTGCAGTTTCAATATGTTGAGATGATTTGAACTCCTCCAGAAGCAGGGAGGACATCCATACATCAGCCTGTCTCGAACTTCACAGAATCCCACCAAATCAGAGTCCTGCTTATAGACTGAAGTCAAGGAGGATCCTAGTCACTGTGCTAAGGTAGCCACCAAGGCTAGAAAACAGCCCCAGGGACAGGTCTTGGCCACATGCAAGAGCAATCAGTTTTCCACCTCCTAGTCCATGGGGCCATGGCAGAGAAGGACATGAATTTTTCTATGCCCTTCCTAGCCTTTGCCATTGAGAATACTTGCCTGGACAGTCTTACTTGAGAGCAGGCAAGTGCTGAAGGAGACAACCCAAAGTGGAAAATATCTGAGGATTTCAAACTCTCCTCATCGTTTTGACTTCCTTAGCCATATTTGTCTACAGAAGGAGTGTATGACCCTGGTACTTTTCAGACATGCAAGAAGTTCCCTAATCCAAGGTGTTCAGAGTGCAAAGACATGGTGAGAGGGTAGGCAGAGCTCCAATGCGAAGACACTGGTCTGTATCTGTCAACATGATGCACTGTGAGCTGCTTTGCACCAGGCAATTTCTAAAAGGTACCTGAAAGTAGAAATGGCAGGTCAGATCAGGAGTACAAACCATGCTTAGGGGACACACATTTTGAACATATCATCTATGCATTTCTAGGTTGTCACCCCATTCTGTTATTTCCACATGCTAAGGTGAGTCAGAGTGCCTGGGTAGAGTCCTCTGCGCCAGAGTTTTCTCTGAGGTCCTGTTGCTTCAGTGACTTGAGGTGTGCGAAGCCTCCTGAGTAACAGAAGAGCAGCCTTCATGTGCTCCTGTTGCTGTAGAGGTCAAGCTACTCTCTGGTCCTGTCCAAATCCAGCTGATTCACACTCAGCCAGCATTATCAAAGCTCATGCATTTAGGGAAAGTTGTTCTCCACTAAGTAGCAGCAGAATCTGTGATAACACAGCAAAGGATTTAGCAAGTGTGCGAACAAAAGATTACATGTGTTATCACTCTGCAAATTTAACTTTAAACTCATAGCCAGTTCCTGAAGACCAACTGATTCATCCATATCTATGTAATAATCACATTACCAGAATTCTTTTCACTTGTATGTCAGCTACCCAGAATAGCTTTTAGGACTTTAAAAATAATAAGTAATTTGTCTTTTGTATCTGGTTGTCAAGCATATCTCTGATCCAGGATTAATTCACACTAAGATATTCTTCATGCCACAATTTGATCCACATCTTTGATCTGTTTGCTGTATTTGAGTTCTTCTGTAAGCAAGATCTGATTTAGACTGTATATTTCATTCATGATTCTGCGTCATGTATGATGATTTCAGTCAAATCCAAGGACAAGTTTTAGAGTCTAAATGAAGATTGGAGATACTCAGAGGTAAGATTAAAAGAGGTTATGCTGTCAGTACAGAGGGGTGTTGTGCTTGTTATAACAAAAAGTAAAAGCCAGATTTCATCTCATGTTTTACTTTTTTTTGCAATCATAAGCCTTCAATGGGTCATTTAAATGTTATCTTCTTAAATTGTGCTTGAACATACCTTGAACATACCTCCAAAAATTAAATGTTACTGGTTTTATCGTGCATACTTTTGTCTGCTCACAGTTATGGTCAGATTTAGTCCTGCAGAGAAATAGTGAATATTGCTGGACACAATCACTGCCTTTCATGAGGTTGCTCTGCATAAGAAACACTTACACTCTTTCATGGAACCAGGTAAATGAGACAACAGCAGCCCCTATCCCAAGCACATGTGAAGGGGTGTGTTTATATAAAAGGGAGACAGAGCAATCACAGAATGTGTAGCATTTCCACCCAAATGGCTAAGTCAAAAATCATTCAGCTTAAAAGGGAGGCAGAGCAATCTCAGAATACATAGCATTTCCACCCAAACATCTAAGCCAAAAAACATTCATCTTAAATACTGGCTGAACTGTTTGATTTTTGCTGCCTAGGGAAATAAACGGGTTTGAATTGAATGACCCGCAGCAGTTAGGAGGAGACTGTGCTGCAAACAATTCGCCAGAACCTTCAGTTTTGATTAATGTTGCCACTTTTTAGCCAGATCAGTTGATTGCTCTGAAAGCCGTGGGTCAGGTTTCAGTCTGGTATGATGTGGCTGTGTACCATAATAGCTCCCTAGTTCTTCAAAAAGCCTCCAACAAAAACAAGAATGTCAAGACCTTGGTATTTCTAATAATTCCAAAATAAGCAGGAGACCATCTTCACTTGCTGTAGAGAAGCTTTAAAAGGCAGAAACATAGTTCTGAATACTTAGTAGCTAACTTACTTTCAGACTTGTTAATTGCTGTATCCTGACACTTCAGTGAGAATTTTTTTTTCTCTTTTCAGTATTGTTTTCCAAAGTGTTCTGCACATCTTAGCCTGTGAGGGTAAAATGTGCACTCACATGAATGATGTACATCTCTGCTCAGTACATTGAGCAGTAAGTAATATGGCTAATCAGAGGTGCCCAAAAATCAAGGACCAGATCCTGAAATCCTGAGTTTAACTTAAAAAAAAAAAAAATTAAAATCAGGCTTCATGTATTTTCTGACTGATTTTTAGCCTTACCAGTCACATTCCAGTTATATTTTTAGGTTTCCATTCATAACCATAGGGGCTGAACACTTTCCTTTATAAAACTGTAATTGAGATATCCATGTAGTCATTGCCTCCAGGTACCCGAGTACTGTGCATAACAAGTTCTGAGATAAAAATCATGTGGATTGACACCATAGAGAATGATCTGATCCCTCGCTTCTGTTCTTTATTATTTCTAATGTGAAGTGGTGTTTGATAGGAAAGAAACTACCAGCTGCTGTTACAGAAATTTTGCTCAGATGAAGGAGATATTATTAATAACTTTAAAACAGGCTTTCTAAATGGAATCTTCTGTATCCCAATATCAAGACCTTAAGCAGGCAACTATACAAATTATTTTCTCCCTTACTTAAAATCTTGATGCCGGGAGCTGTAATGTTTTATTTCTGTGTAAAATAGGAACACAATTCTGTGATTATGCTTGTGTCCCTTATTGCATTAAAACTGATGTAAGGGAAGAGAATAATTCTTAGAAGTATTATTATTAAAATGTTGTAAATTATATACTGTGTATATTGATATTCTTTAAGAAAGCTCTGTAGCTTCAGTTGCAGCTCATTGTCATTCCTGGTTTCCCAGCTTCAACAGAGACAGAGGGAAAACAGATTTTGTGGCCCTGGATGGGGCCACATTGTCCCATGGGTCGAGGATGGTCAGGAACCATCTGGCTTAACTATAGATCATAATGACCATCCTAGGGTAAGCAAAGGATCCACACAGATGTTTGACAGATCTTTCCCAAATCTTAATAACCCCTTAAGGCAAGTGGAATGCTGTCAGACTTCTGTGAAACTGTTGTGGACAGAACATCACAGTTGGACATCTCCAAATATTGCTCTGCACAAATTGTATTTTTGAGATGCAAACCATAATGTTTTAATCTTTATCCCTGTGTCCTCTGTACACATACAAGATCTCAGTTCAGGTTCCTTATTTGCAAGCAAGCTAATGGAGATAGCAGATTTAATTTTAAATTCTTTCTGTATCTTATTTACATATCTTCTATTGTCATTCTTCTTACTCCAACTATGAACAGATGGGGAGCTTTCCATACCAAATGAAGAAGGAGCTTTGGAGAATGGGCAGCCTTTGGGCTCTGGGCAAGTGCTGAGCTCCAGCCAGGTGTCCCTGCCTGCCCTAGCAGAACTGGAGTCAGGTCCAGCATCTGGAGAACCCTGCTCATACGAGGTGCTCCCAACCACAGAGATCATGGATGGCACAGGTAATATCTTGTTGACATTATGATGTAGATACTCTAAGCTGTTTGAAACAAGTTTTTGACTTCTAACATTTGTGTCTAGCCCTGAGAAATCCTTGTCAAAGACAAAAGTCTTCTGGTGGAGAACGAGGTGATAGCATACAGATTGCCACTGGATGTTCCATGAGGAATTTTGACTGGCTTGGTATAGAAGTAACCTCTACTTCTACACAAGTAAACTCTTTGTCAGTAAGGCTAAGTCCCTGCACTTTGAGAAAATTTAAGAGTAGATTTCTAACTCTCTGGCTATGTCTCAGCTGTGCCATGAGCTCTAGAACAGAGAGCTGATAACATTTTTAAACTCTAGGGTACAACATCATGCCCTTTAGCTGCCACATGGTGTTGGGTGACGTTTGCACCATGCATCTTTCAGTGCCAGCTGTCCTACCCTAGGTGAGTCTCTCTGCACTTCCCCAGCCCATGCAGAGAGGCAGCAATGCTGTACATCTGTCTAGGTTAACTCCTTTTTCTGCATCACTTAATGCCGAGAGTTGTGGACAAAGGTCAAGGGAGGAAAAGTGACTGATAGAAGTGTTCATTTATGATCCTGCCCAGCTATGCAGACTCTTTGAAATACACTTTGCAAACTCTTTGAGTAGGCCCCCGAGGTGCTTTTACATTTATAGAATAAGTGTAGAGACCACCTGCTAACGTATCTGGTCCTGAGCAAGCTGTGGTGACAGACCATCTGAGATGTGACATTTTAAAGCTCTTGATTTGTGTTCAGGATGTAGGAATACATCCCAGCCTGGCATAAGGGAGCTGGCTTCTATCAGAGGTAACGGGAAATTTGGCTGTTGTGTAGATGTATGTTATTCCTTTTCTTTCTCTTTTTCTCTCTTTCTTTCTCTGCTCCTTTCTATGTTATATGATGTTTGAGTGAAATCTACTAGTCATTCTTAATCTGCATTGCTGCGCTGCTTTTCTTGTCTTACTATGGCTGTATCCTCTGCTGCTTTGCACATAACGTTGTTGCGTCTGTGATGTGGTTGTGTCCTCCAGCGTCTGAAGAGAGCCCCACATCCAATGAATCCGGCGTCCTCCTGTCCCAAGATCCTACAGCTAAGCCAGTCCTGCTACTTCCCCCCAAAAAATCTGCTGCTTTCCCTGGAGACCATGAGGACACCCCAGTGAAACAGTTGTCCCTCCTCAAACAGCCCCCTGCCCTGCCTCCTAAACCTATTGCCAGGATTGCCAGCCACTTAACTGGTAAGTAGGTGTTCCTGGACCCTCAGCACCACCATTTCCCTTATAGGAGAAACCTGCCCTTACAGCAAAGTTCTCAATGTCCTTCCTCCTTCTGTAACTCTGTCTGCACATGTTGTTGTGTGTACTGGTGATGTATCTGTGTTGTACCTAGGGCAGGGATCATGAAGCATTTTCAGGCTATAACTTCATCAGGGTTGCTTCAGGGCACTTCCCCTCTCAGCTTTAATTACCTAAGACCGACGCTGCATTTCCTAACCCTCCTCACTCTTATTCATCAAGACTTACCATCACCACAAAAATTGCAGGATGTGTTTTGATGGGAAAGGAAGTATCAGGAAAATACAAGGATATCTTTAAATGCCTTTAGTGAGAAAAGGGGTGAGGGTTGGGGGGAAAAGGGAGAGTTTTGCTTTCTCCTTTTGCCCTTTGTTGCTTCTCCCCTCAGCTGCCACCTGGGCAGTTTCCCCTGCACACACCCTGTATCTTTCCATGTTTGTCTTTTACTTAGCCTCCTGATCCTTACACAGGCCATTCTGCTCCATGGCCTCTTGCCATTTTGCTTACCCACTTCCACTACCTGCCTGACTCTCCCTGTTTCCCCCCTACTGCTCTGACTACTTCCCTCCCACTGATGAGTCCTGATAATGATGGGCAGCTCCATTTCCCAAGGACCTTGATTTTGGTGTTGTGCAGTTTATGCTGCAGTTCATGTCTCACTGCATGGCAACTAGCAACAGTAGACAATACAGGCTCCTTTTTTGTATTCCAGATGTTTTCACAGTGTCCAGGCTCTTTGGGAATTCAAAGCTCTAGGTAGATGTGGAAGGGAGATTGGTGGGTCTCCTCTTTCCAGTCTTTCATTTAGACCACCATTTACACAGACCAAAAAAGGTTCCCTAAATGCTTGCGTGCGCCTTTTGAACAGTCTGCTCATAATTGCAGCTGCTGCCCAGGAAGCAGCACTTTAAAATCCTGAGTTCATGATGAGGCGTGATGTATCTTGGTACTAGGGGAGCTACCAGTCTTCTCACTAGGTCAATCTTCTTGTTTTAATGCTGCCCTGATCTTTTCAGGGTTGGTGTGAGAAATGCTCAGCCCATGTTAATAAATTCTGGATGGTTGTTTTTTCCCCTGACAGTTAATACCCGGTTTATTTGCGTTAAGATATATAACAGGAAAAAACTCATTAGGAAAGAGCATGTTCTGGTTTTCTCTCGTATCTCTACGTAGTCTCTTCATGTTTCTGTTTGGATGACCACATATTTTTGTTCTGCATAATTTGTTCATTTTATGTGAAATCTCTTTACTTTTCTGCCTGCCAAAATCTAGACATAATGGTTGGTATTTTGCCTTATGCTACAAACTGAATGGTCAGTTCTGCAGCCTGCAAAGCCAGGTAGCAGTATTAATGGCTTCAGGTGAGGACAAAAACAACTTCTTATGATCTCCCATAACATTCTGTCCCAGTTACAAGGAGCTGCTCAGAAATGAGGCCAAGATGGAAGAAATAAAAAAATAGGAATGGTATAGAAAAAAACTCCAGTACTAAATGTCCTTCATTCATAAGCTTTTCTTTCATAAGAGGTGGCAGAAGAATCAAAGGATGAACGTTTCTGGTGTGGTTTATTTTGCAGCTGGAAATTTTGTGTGAAGTAGAATCAGGGTCAAACTATTGGCATAAGTCAGTTGCTTGATGGTGTTTCATTTTCATTTCCCAATGAAAGTGAAACAGAACTGTGACTTCTCTTACCTTGTGGTAGCCTTTAGTGGTCTCTCATCCAGTCTTAAATAAACTCTTGTACATGAGTATAGACAGACTTGTATGTGCATATACAGAACCCTCATGGAAAAAGAACAGAGATTCAGATTCAGTCATAGGGTCTTAATTTAATTGACAGTTATTCCTGGTGGAACTGAAAGCCTCATTTATACATACCTTATAAATAAAAGTATTAAAATTATTCTTAATGGTCCATTTACTTTGGTGGGCTAAAGGATATACATGTTGTTCAGTACCTTGTGTTCTCCACTGGTAATTATTTTAGCTGTGTATAATCTTTGGAAATGAGCAATCAATCCTAATGAAGCACCCTCATCAGTGAGAAGCAGAATTAACGCTATTCTTTTACTAATTACTCTAGAGACATCGCCAGCTTGTGTGTAAGAAAACAAGTAAAATCTGAATTCCGACATTCAAGGTGAAGACTTTTCTGTTCTTGTTGCATACCCATTTTTCTACTGAAGATTTTGTGAGAAGGTTGAAGGACAAATTAAGACATACTGGGCTTGGCTAATGAAGAGTGACAGTGGTTTAATGGTCTGGTAGCTCTGTTCAAGACAACTGTGAGGGGAGATGTGATCTTGTGAAGGGTTCAGGTACACATCTCAAAATACAGCAGCACCTCTTAGTTTCTGTATTAAGCTATATAGATGTATATGTATGTATATTTACTTAATAGAAACTTGGTTTATACAAACATTTTATAAAATCACTGCAAGCATGGTCATCAGGAAAAAAAAAAAAAGCATATTTTAAATACAAAACTTGAGGAAAGAAAAGCTTCCTTTAAGTCTGACCACCTTCTTGTTGTGAACTTATCTCAGAGTTCTTCAGTAAAGTCATGACTGACTTGGCAAAGGACTTAATACAGGTTTTAGAAATGGAAAAAAAACATTCCTCACCTCTGAAAGCATTTGTGAACCATCTCAAACATCTGTCTGCCTGTGCCAAGACAAAGATTGGCCTTTCCCTTGATAAGAAATGCACATAAAAGAGCAGGCCTAAAATAAACATATAAGAGCACATTTAATTTTGGGAAGAATGAAAAGCAAAAATCCATTTTAAAGGTGACAGGAAGAGAGAATTGCCTCTAGCAAATATAAATCACACAACCTTGGCATGCTCCTTCTCAAGGCTGAGGTACTGTAGGGACCAGACAGTGCAGGAACAGGGAGGGAGCCAAGAATAGACTGCAGAGCAGCCACTGGGAGTGGTGCCACCACCACTGCAGAAGATGCTCTGTGCTTTGCCTCGCACTATCTCCCGTGCTCTTGATGATGCTGCCTCCACAGGGAACATCCCTGTCACCGCACTGAGTGTGGAAGTGCCCACACAGCCCCAGAAGACAGGCAATCCTAGGAGAAAAATACAATCCTTAACTGTTCTGATACCATTGTTTCACTGCTCTGCATTTCCTGTTGACCAGTCACCTCCTGGTGAGCCCTCTACTGGTTTTCAGATATTAGTATTATTAGACAAAGTTCATGGACAGGATTTCTTTCATCATTTTAATTCTCCATTATCCACATGCAGAACCCAGCCATTTAGGACCACAATTGCAGCCCCTCTTCATTGAAAATGTAGAAGGAGCTGAAATAATCACCTGGGACCAAATTTAATTGGACTGCTGGGGTCAATTCCCCAGTATCATGAAAACTTTAATGGCCAAAAGTGACAAGAAGACCACTCACACCTGATTTGATAGACAACATACCCCAGTGGTGTAAAGCTCCTTTTGATCTTGATTCATTAAGCTGTTACTTCTCAACAGCACAGATGTTTTCTGAATTTAATTAGAAATTTTCCGTTCAAACAACTGAATCACCAGTAAACCATAAAGTCTCCTAAAACATCAGAGAACAAAATACATACCACTAAGCTGGGATTTCAGCAACACCTGAGTATGTTTGAGCCCAGATTCAGCCTAATATTATAGTAGGGTGTAGCTTTGGTCATATCTGACCACTCAGCTTTTGTATTTAAGCTTTGAAAAACCTTTTGCATTCTCTTGCTTTTTTCATTCAATAGCACATTTTTAGTTCTGAGATTGTACTTTCTAGTTATGTCTTTGTAGAGTAAGAACTAATTCATAATTGGAAACAAACATTTAACAGAGCTTGAAATGTTACCAGTCCCCAAAAGTTACTTCTGATATGGGACCAGGTGGGATACACCCAAGGGTGCTGAAGGAGTTGGCTGGGGTGGAAAGTGGCCAAGCCTCTTTCCATCATTTACCAGCAGTCCTGGCTGACTGGGGAGGTCCTGACGGATTGGCCAATGTGATGCCCATATATAAGAAGGGTTGGAAAGATGATCTGGGAAATGACAGGCCTGTCAGCTTGATGTCCGTGCCCAGGAAGCTGATGGGGCAGCTCATCCTGAGTGCCATCATACAACACGTGCAGGACAACCAGATGCTCAGGCCCAGTCAGCATGGGTTTATGAAAGTCAGGTCCTGCTTGACAAACCTGATCTCCTTCTACGACAGGGCAACCTGCTTATTGGATGGGGAAAAGGCTGTGGATGTTGTTTACCTTGACTTTAGCAAGGCCTTTGACACCGTTTCCCACAGCATTCTCCTGGCAAAAATGGCTGCTCACGGCTTGAATGAGCACACACTTTGCTGGGTAAAAAACTGTCTGGACGGCCGGGCCCAGAGAGTTGTGGTGAATGGAGTTAAATCCGGCTGGCGGCCGGTCACGAGTGGTGTCCCCCAGGGCTCGATTTTGAGGCCACTCCTGTTTAACATCTTTATTGCTGATCTAGACGAGGGGATCGAGTGCACCCTCAGTCAGTTTGCAGATGACACCAGGTTGGGTGGGAGTGTTGATCTGCTCGAGGGCAGGGAGGCTCTGCAGAGAGACCTGGACAGGCTGGAGCTATGGGCTGAGCCCAACTGGGGGAGTTTCCATAAGGCCAAATGCCGGGGGCTGCCCTTGGGCCACAACAACCCCCAGCAGCGCTACAGGCTTGGGGAGGAGTGGCTGGAGAGCTGCCAGTCAGAGAGGGACCTGGGGGGGGTTGATTGACAGCCGGCTGAACAGGAGCCAGTAGTGTGCCCAGGGGGCCAAGAAGGCCAATGGCATCCTGGCTTGTGTCAGCAATAGCGTGGCCAGCAGGGACAGGGAAGGGATCTGACCCCTGTCCTCAGCACTGGTGAGGCCGCACCTCGATTCCTGTGTTCAGTTTTGGGCCCCTCACTACAAAAAGGACATTGAAT